CAAGGTATGAAAGTTAAATGTGCCTGAAACTTTGAAGTATCAAAGTAAAATCAGATCGAATTTTTGGGGTACCAAAGTGTTAAATAAACACCTAACACTTCAAAGTGATAAGGTGCCAAAGTTTTGGGTACCAAAGTAAAAATAAGCCACCAAATAAACAGAAAGTTTTTTTTTGACACTAGTCCCATTAAATCAATTAAATTGCTATTTGGTCCCTTACATCTTATGTTATTTTAAAATTAATCCCCTAAATTATTGAAAGTGGTATTAGGATCTCCAATTTTTAAGTTATTTTGAAATTAAACCTTCAAACTAAGAGTAGATTTAGCAATTAGACTAATAGAAATTTTAGTGTACAACAACTGAATAGAGCAGGCACGTGCAACGCACTTGTCCTCCATACTAGTAATTTAAAAAACAATTTAAGAAAGCAACAATTCAAAAAGGATTCATAGTTAATAAAACACAACTAAATATGTGATAAATGAATTATACGCAAGAATAGAACTATCATTGGGAGAATAAATCAGTGAAGGCATAATATCATCAAATATACAAAACAAAGTCTGCAATTTAAGGTTTCAACGAAAACCGAACTTTAACATTCCAATGTAAGAATTTATTCAAAGCTCCAATCATGGCTATCGAATAAATCCCATGCATAACCTAAGCCTACAGTCCATCACCCAGCTATCCAAGTAAACAAAATAATAAGGGTGTAGCCACAATTCAAATTAAGGTTTGAATCTTATACACATGTACAAATAAAATTTTAACTCCTAATACAAATGCATTTTAAGATAACAAAGCTTTGAACTCGAACCTTAGACTTTCAATGTTTAATTTTACAGTAAAGTTTCTTCCAGAGAACTATAAACACAGTTAAATGTTCACAAAGAGCTAGCATGCGTCCGAATCAATAATTTAAAAGTCCAATTTCATATTTTGTATGGCAAAAATCAACCTTCATATATTTAAAATACACTAACTAAGAAGAAGTCATATAGCTGACCTAGTCACAAGTAGGTGAAGAGACTTCTTCTAGTAATGTCCACATTCATTGTATTTATATTTACAACAATTTGAAAGTTAATTAGTTGTAGAAAATAATAATTAATAATTATTTTCTCTCTCTTGTAAGTTCACTTTCCTAGGCTAAAAAAAAAATTTGACGTGATAGCATCGACTTTCTATTTACTTTATATTTCACCTTTCACGTGACAAACAAAAAAAATAGAAAGTTGAGTTACTTTTCATTTTTGGTCCACTTTTATTCACTTTATGGTTGCCAAACACACTCTAATTTTTAGAGAAGTGATGTGGTATTTGTCACTTCCCAATCATTTTCTATTCAATTATCAAATGACAAACGGGATAAAAACAGAAAGTAGAGTTGCTTTTCAATTTTCAGTGTACTTTCCATTAGGGGGTGTTTGTTTCAGGTGGGAACCCTCCCAAAGGCTCTTTTACATGATTAGAAAGTACCAAAAAAATTTCAAGGATTTTTTTTCCTTGTGTTTGTTCCACTAATTTTTTTAAAGAAATGTTATATTAAAAGTGAGGAAAACACCATTTTTTTAAGGAAACTAAATCGTCACTAAAAGTGATGAGATAGGCGAGAAAAAGATTGAAAAGATGGATTGTTATTATTTAAATAATCGATAATGTGAAAAGTTAGTTAAATATAATATTCAAATAATGAGAGGGATGCTTTCATCTCAGTTTGTTTCTTGTTTTTGGCTTTTGAAGCAAACAAAAGAATGAGATAGAAAACATTTCATCCCTATGTTTCCATGCGGGAAAAAAAAGCTTCCTATAGAAACACATGAAAAGGGGTGGAAATAGTTTTTTTTTTACCACTAGAAAGGTTTTCTTTTATTTTATTTTTCATTTTCTTTTTTTTTAAAACAAAACAAGAACGCCCCCATTTCCCGGTTGCCAAATATGCATGCTCAAACATTTTTTGTTTGGTTGATTTCGCATTAGCCCCGTGAACTTTGGAGTGTTTGTCACATGACTCCTAGAGTGTGTTTTATCTCACATACGCCCTCGCACTTTGGGTTGCCTTGCAAAACCATCCATGAACTTTTAAACTATTTCTAACCAGGCTCTCTCTCTAATGTAACCTACAAATTTTCAATGAATGGTTGTTCATCATGATGGTTTATAGAGAGATTAGTTGGATCCGGTTGAAAGAAAGTGATGATGTATTTAGAGATCTGATGTAAATTTTCCTTTGGCTTTTCGCTGTATATATATCTCTTTATGGGTTGTTTGTTGGCAAAAAAATAAAAATAAAAAACGCTGATTGAATTCGCCGGAGACCTTACAACTTTGTATGAAAATGGGGCCCATAGATTTAGAATCTCAATTTTTATCAAATACACAATTTAGTTGGCATCAATAACTCGATAGAATTGTCCCAAACATAATATTATTTGGACTGCCACATGGTGGACAAATGCATCAAATGTCATTTGAAAAAAATTAGAAACAAATGCTAATTTCAGTCGAATTTGATATTTCAGTCGTCGTCCTCAGCAAAAAAAATTATATGCAACAAAACAAAAAAAATTGTTGCTCTTAAAATTCACGCAAAAAAAAAAAAAAAGGATTTTAAAGATTCTTACACACAATGCAATTTGCTAACAAAATATCTCCTAAATTATAGCTTTTTTAATTGTATTCATTGTAGGAGCTAATTTGTGTCAATTATTTGTCTTCCTTAAATTCTCTATTTAAATGTATCATTGTTTATGGAATCTATTGGAATACTATGTTATATCTTACAAAATCAATTTAAGTATTACCTTATTAAAATAACTGTAATTAACTTAATAAAAATCTAGACACCTTGAACCAAAAAAAAAAACATTTTCTAATGTAATTATAAAGACAACGATTACTTTTATTTACTTGTAAAAAAGAACGGTGTGGAGCGTACCTGATAAGATGCGTACTTGTCATTCTCTATGACTGGCATAAAAATTAACATGTGTCATAGTATAAAGACATAAATAGTCAACATGTACCAAATCATAAATATCAACATGTCTCTTTATCTTATCAGAAGATGATATGTGGACACCTAATTTTTATTCACCTAAGAATGATAAAAACAATGAGTTAAGATCAAGTAATCAACCATTAATCCTATCTACTCTATAACAAGGGACAAATATCAAGATTTGGATTTGGATTGGATGTGAAGTGGGCCAAGACGCGGTCGCACGAATCTTTAGGGGCGAAGCTGAATAAAGATGTATTCGGTTTAAATAAAGATGGAAAAAAAAAACATTTACAATGGCATGCTATTCCAACTTCTGAACGCAATTTCATAATTGGAATACCTTTCGAGTTTAGCGAAATACAAACTCTTTTTATTTTTATATCGTTTTACTTTTTATTTTTTATTGGCAAAAACTCTCGAAGCGAAAACAAATCCAGTCACATACATGTGTGTATTTGAATTGGTATGTAGTCATATTAATATAAAAATAATAATTGTAGCGACATTTAACTACTTAAGGGCAAAATGCCGCTGCGTTGAACTGTTCGAGCTCCAACTGTGCCGTATTTTTTGCGGCACTTTGGAGGAGATAAACAGTGCGACGCCAAATATGACGCCACACTGTTCATCCGTGTTATTATTGTTCATTGTTTTAAATTTTTTTAAATATTTATTTTTTACCTCTTAATTAATATAAAAGTAGATAAAAGGGAATAAACTGAGAATATTCTGAGAATATTTTTTTTTGGTGCAAAAAATAATGCAATGTGTTGAACATGTATTACTGTTTGATGCGACTTTTGCGCTATTTTGATGCAAAATTTGTACCATTTTGATGCAATGGGTTGAAGATGGTCTAATAGCGGGCTCAAGGGCCGCAAAACCTCTCGCCTCCATTGACTTTAGACATTCAAGCCACATATATCACATGGATATTGAATATATTGATGATAAATTATATCGAACCAAGATGAAGTAGCTCTCAAATGACAATTTGAATTTAATAATTAAGTCGTATACCGGCATTAATATCCCAATAACTACATCCAGAGAAATCTTAGATTCCTAAAATCACAAGAGAAAAGTAAAAAAAAAAAATTATTTATTTCGCATATTAGGACAACAAAAAGCCAACCGGTACACGTTAAGCTAAAACCGCTACAAGCCCACACCATCTCCGCTACTAGCGACTATAGAGATCCTCCTCGTCACCATCCGCCTCTTTACCTCCGAACCCCTTATCTTGTTCCGCACCCGCACTTAGCTTACCGTGACCCCTCTCGAAGAATCCCTGTTCTCCTTCAAACCTCCCCGTTCTTCGTAGACCTCCTTCTTCCAGATCGGCACCGACGCCCTTCACCTCGTCGATCACGAACCGGCACGCTCGAGCCAGTCGGACCTTGTGGACGGCCGACGCCGCGACGAACACGCTGGCCTCGCCGACGGGACGGTGCCGAGGCGGTGGCGACGGCGACGCGCTCGAGGGCCAGCCGATCTCGCGCGGCGACGATGCACCGGAGCTCGCGGAGGGCCATTGGAACGTAGGACTCGTAGCGGAGCTCGACGATCGCGGTGGCCGTTTGAAGGTGTCGCGGGTCGTGCCCTCGAAGGTCGCGATGGGCGCCGGCGGCTGGGGGAGCGGGACGTGGGCGGTGTACTTGGGCGGTCCAGGTGGGGGGAGGTGGCGGCGCCTGGGTCCACGATCTCGATTAGGTCGGAGTCCGCCATGGGTGAGGATTAGGGTTTTTTCTTTTTTATACTTCCCCCACTTTTATTTATTTTCTATGGGGCGGAAATTAGGGCGTGGAATCGGAGAGAGATTATTATAAGGTGGAGCGCGTTTACTAGATGGAGCGATATACGTATTTGCCCCTGGTTTTAAAAGCGCGCGTCTGGGCTGATATTCGAACGGGGGACCGCACCCGCACACCGCGGTGATGATCCAGGATAGCATTCGCTCGGCGCTTTTTAGCAAGTCAGCAGCAGCAGCAGCAGAAGAGAGCGGGAGGTAATGCCGATGTCATCTCGAAACCGAAATCTGCGAAACAAATCGAATCTCTCCGAAAGGTATTTTTCAACTCGAGAACCATAATTTACCTTTTTGAAATTTTCTAAAATAAATTAGCCACAAATCTAGGGTTTTAGACGTTAATAAAACGGTCTTGCAAACTTGCACCCCGAACCCGTACAGTGTTGAGGACTGAACGGAAACTAGGTAGTAATTGAATTTTTCCCAAGATATTGTTTTTATGTTTGATGAGGTTCCGTGGGATATAGATGCAGTTTATATTGATCATGTCTGCAGTTTAGTGGTGCCTCTCTCTCTATATATCATATATATATACTATATATATATCTATATATATATATCATATATTATATATAGTATATTATATATATATGAGAAAATGGTATTGCTTGTACCAAGCCATAAATTTTGTGCTCACTTAGTGATGATTTCAATCACTCATACCACTCAATACTTATGTGAATGATGGTCCTATATATATAATATAATATATATATATAATATAATATATATATATGAGATTAATGGAATCCTTGTCATAGGAGGGGATTTCCTCCTTGACGACCCTCTAAATCATATGAATGAGCGCGACATTGTGGATAGATCCGCCTCCGTTGACTTGCATCTACATATTCAAAACCCTAACACCGACCAAGTTTGGGGTGAACCCGTCGTCGTTTGACCCTTTCCATCTCACTCGTATCAACTTATTAACGCTTTGACATGAATAGAACCTTTTCAACATCGCTCGATGAGGGTCAACGACGACGGATTCACCCCAAACTGGTGTGTTTGGGTTTAGAATATGTAGATCAAGTTCAACGGAGCGGATCAATCCATAATGTCGCCCTCACATCATGTGATTTTAGACGGCGTCAAGGAGGAAGCCTTTCCTTATGACCATATACCCATTCAATCTCTCTCTCTCTCTCTCTCTATTATATAATATATATATATATATATATATATATAATATATATATATATATAATTATATATATATACTATTGCAGAAAAAATGAGTATGTTGGTACCAAGCCACAAATTTTGGGCTTGTAGTGATGTGTTCACATCCCCTCCACTCATTCAACTCAATACCCATGAATGTCGGTCCCATATCTTTGATATGAGGGAGGGGGATGTGACACTCACTACCATAGCACAACTTTTTGTGCTCGGCTACCAAGCATACCCATATTGTTTCTCTCTTCTCTCTCTCTCTCTCTATATATATATATATATTAGTATATATATTATATATATATATATATATATATATATATATATATATATACCTATATAGTATTTCTCC